CTTTAAAAACCTAACAAATTTGCGTCTGCGCCGCTCCTCGGTACAAAGAAAGAAATATAATTTGCATAACATCGAACATACCCCCAGCCTTGAAGTCCCAAGGGCGTTCAAATAATAAATTTAACCTGAAAAATAAAATTAAATTTTCTAAGTCAGGAATTAAATGGCAAAGTGCACAGCTTTGCTATAGGTCTTTTTATTTCACCACTGGAAGTGCGTAAACTCACCACTCGAACTTTCTCATCAAGACCAGGATACACTTTAATAATTCTACCTAATTTTGAACGTAGCGGAGGTAGGTTTTCATTCTTAATGAGAACCATATCACCAAGTTTTAGATCTTGTTGCAACTTGCACCACTTGGGTGTCTGCTGCACCCTAGATAAATACTCACTACTCTATCTCTTCCACAAATGTTGAAATAACCTTTGCATGCTCCTCCAATGATCACTGCAGCTTATGGTTTCTTGAATTTGGTTAGGTTCTGGAATAGCGCTTAAAACCGCTTCGGTTAAAAGCGTCCTAATGTTATCGCCTCCAGGTCTTTGCAATCACTTGAAACTGGTACCAAAGGCCTAGAATTAAGACAGGATTCAATTTGGGTTATTAATATCAAAAATTCCTCGTATGTTAAAATAAGTGTTCCTAACATAAATTCCTAAATAAGTCTAAAATAGTGTTTTGGTTCATCGGCTATGGAATTGCAGTAAAATTGGTGAGTCAGTGTATTTGTATATCTTTCTTTTTAAATAATGGAATTTACAATGCTTAAGACTAAGAAGCGTGTAGCTAAAGCTAAGTTGAGTAAACTAAAGGAGAAAATTGCAGTGACTGCTGATGTTGATCGGTTAGAACTTTTTAATTCCAGGTTAAATAATGTGATGACTGAACTTTCGGATATTTTTAGAAATATTTTTGTAGTGTGTGAAGAGAAAGCTATTGATGTCTTTATAGAAGAGTAGCAGGTCAGACCATATGCAATATTGTGTTTGATCTGTGATGTGGTGAAATCATTAATGTCATTTATAGAGTCTACTGTGTCCTAGATACTGAATCAAAACTGCTTGATAAGTTATATTTTTCTGAAGAACAGTAAATTTAATGAATGCTTTTGATAAAAAATTTTTTTTTTTTTGCTTCTGTAATAAAAATAAGAACTGTGTATCTTAAAGGAAAAAAGGTGCATAAAATATTTTTGTTTGCTATCAAAATTAGATATTTTATTTATGATCTGATTAATTTTTAGTGGTTGATCGAGTTAGGGAAGGAATAGAATTGAAAAAGATAATATTGTAATTATCACTACTGATGTATGCTAATGTTCTCGGAAATGTTAGTAGCCTTTAAAAGTGGCTGCAATGAAAGATTTCACTGTATTTTTGTTTTATGTAATGGGGCAACTTTTATATTAATGATATTTATCTCACTTTTGTATAATATTAAGTAATTTAAGGTGCAATATTTTTGAGTTTACAGTTTAATGTTCTATATAGTAATTTTAATAATTTTGCATTAGTGCAGATGTTTGTCTTGGGAACACCTCATAATGTGTAAATAAAAATAAAATGAAAAAAATTAAGAAATTGAATAATTTTATGAATTGCATAAAAAATTAATTGTAGTATTCTAATTCTGGGAAAAAAAGTTATACCGTTGAACCATTTGTTAACGAATGAAATCGAAGTATTTGTCCGTATTGTGAAGTAAGTCTTAAGTAGGATTGCAGTGTTTGAAAATGAGTTTGACTGACACTAGATATTTTAAAATTACTGTAATGAAAACATAACAGCTTCTAATCAATATAAAAAATAATTAGAATTTTCGAGATTGCAAACTTGAGAAGTCAGCAATGTCCTTGCTGGGATTCGTACCACAGATTTTCCATTTTGCTAGTTGAACATACATCATGAAAGTGCATGCGGAGGAAAATGATAATTTGTTAAAATACAGTTAATGACATAGTAGAGAATAAATTTTAAAATGCATGTATAGAAGGAAAAATTATGCAATTTAAATGAAAATTTTCTCTCTGCTTTAGTGAAAAGAAAGTTCACAAGACATTGTTGCAGAAATTGTTAAAAGTAATCTATCAGAATAATCTGTATTTGAAGAATTTTCAAATCATTGATTAAAATAAATTCATTAAAGCTCCTATAGTTCAACAAGTACAGTGTTCAACAAAATTAGGAGAGTGGATGATTTACCAAGAATAGGCAGCTGCTAGTAAATATGCATTGTAATAAAAAATTAAAAAATGGAATAGATGAAGGATCATGTTTTAATGTAAATAATAATTTTACAGAAAACAAACCTGGTGCCTTAAAATTTGTTTAGTGTCTGTATATTCTGGGGAAAATTAAGAACTCAAGAACTCTGTCTACTATATAATAAGGTATGTGGCCAACCTGAACATGCAAGATGGCTCCGTAGCTTTGAGTCGTTAAATTGTGGTGGGGTTAGTGAGTTTTGGAATTCTTTTTGGCTCTTTGTAAAAGGCATCTTATGACTGAATGTGTGTTAATGGAGGTTCAATCCTACACTAGTGTTCAAAATTAAGAGAATTTTCACATTTAGATGTTTCTCTTTGGAACTAACTGACAAATGTTTTTAAATTTTGGTATTCACATAAGTTGATATAGAACCAAAAAAGTAATATAAATTGCAAAAATCCTGTATATTTGCATGATTGTGTGTAAGGCTCATCAGATGGTCTAAAAAAAGGTTGTTATATCGAACAAAAGAAGGAGGTTAATATGGGTATTTTCTCCTCTAAAAGTCATGTAATTCTCACAGGATGACTTAATACTGAAAATGAGTTAGTTGCACTGAGTTAGCTCACTCTTGCAGCAATGCTGTTCTCATATTTTGGAGGGGTAGGCAAGTTGCAGTTGGCCTCCCAAGAGCATTCCAGATGTGGTCTTATAGGGTTTACATCTTAAAAGAGAGTTGGCCAATACATGCCATTAATATCTTCACCTTCAGAAAATTACCCACCACATTAGCCCAATGTGGAGAAGAGTTTCTGTCCATAAAAATATACTGAGGGCCAAATGCATTGCTGGAAAGACAAACATTGAACTCTAAGGTCTCTTTCTAATACTACAGTCATAGAGTACAGTACTTCACTACAGTCATAGAGCCTCTACCAAAGAAACAAAGGTTTTTGTATCTGTCCAATGTGATGTCTGCTCAGACCATCAAACTTCCACTGCAATATTTTTCTCTGATGTTGGTGAACTGGTAGCGGTTCCTTGGTCTCTCTAGAATCTATGGTTAGGCTGAATTGGGTGCATCTGTGAAGAGAATGATTCCCTGCTGATACTTGAAGTTGATGTTCTCTGCACCATGCTAAATGGGCTCTCTTGTATTCAGATAAGATCTTAGACCCCTATGTTCACTTTTTCAGAGATAAAGTTGGTCCTCAGTTCATTTTTAAGGATGACAACATTTGTCCACTTGGAGCGCGAAGCTAGTGGCTGATTTTCTGGAATGTGAAGATGTTAACTAGATGTCTTGATGAGCTAGAGTTTTATAATATTTCTGGGATGGTCTTGAGAGGGCAAATGCATCACACCTTGCCCCTCCCTGAGCCCTTCAGGACCTAAAAACAGCATTGCTACAGGAGTGAGATCACTGTAAACTACCATGTTTTTGGTACAAAGCCATGTTCTGAGAGTCATAGGAGTATTAGAGGGCACCACACCCTATATTGCATCATTTTTTGTTCAGCCTCATAGTCGCTGTTTTAGACCTTGCGTCAGTGAGCCTTACATACAGTCATGCTTGTGTACCATAATTGTTGTATGGCATATTTTTTGTATTATATCAGTCTGTATCCACAGTCACAGATTTCACTGATTCTTGGCTGTGTGGATAGGTCGAAAATTTTGATAAAATTTGGCAAAGTAACAGTTTTTTTGTTTGTGATCCTGAATTTCCTAGATTTAGTATATCTTGATTTAATGGGGAAGGAATAGTTGCATTTTTCATTTTAACTGTGTTTGCATGGGTTATACAGTTATCATATTGGAATTGAACAACTAGTGAATTGCATACGTTGCACTTTGAACTTTTATTTGAACTGCAACACTTTTATCAGTGTTGAACGTTTTTGTGAATCTTTGTTCAAAACCTCATTACCATGTGTTTTTTTAAACATTCTTTTGTTCAACAATTTTGTAGAAGAGAAGCGAAGTGTCATGAATTTGTAAGTAAGTATTGTTGGAGTGGAAACTTGTGCAAAAGTTTTTGAGTTTTTAATCCATTTTATCACCAGCAGGGGGTTTACATATTTTAATCTCTGTGTAATATGGTGGCCATCAGGGATTATTTCCAAGTCATTTTAACATGCTATTATCATATAATTAATTTTTAGTAATTAATTTCATATGCTTAAAAATTCTTATGAATAGCTTTTAGTAAAACCTTTTTTGTTTTGGGTTACTGGATTTTGTTTCTTCTTTTTCATTCGAGATTTATTTTGGGGAATTTTCATCTTTTCTTAGCTACACTCATAAAAGTTAAATTAGAAAATATATTTTGCTTTTCTAGACTTCATTTTTGCCTTAAATGGATTTAAATGACTAACTTGAAATTTTTCAGGTCAACCATTAGAGGCTTTAAAGTCGCCCCCCCCATTGATTCAAAAACCTGATCTTGCATATTTTGTTGCAGGTCCACTTGCCAGTTAATCTACCAAGTTTTTCAAATATGTATGCATATATTTTAAAAGCTTAATATTGTAATGTAATATTCTTGTAGAAACACAGTCATCTGTACTTACGAAGACTTTGTTAAAACAATGAAATGAGTTTGGAATTTTATTACCTGGCATACTTAAAAAGTCCCTCTTCAGAAATATGCTATGAATTAGGGAGCATAGAGGGAAGTTAACATGCTTAAGTTATGGAGCAGCCCACTGCACTGATGCAAAGTTAAAAAATGTCTTTATGTCATGTCTTTAAACATATCTTAAAATATTTTTTTTTATATATAAATAGGTCTGTTGTATTCAATAACAGAGGAAGAGGTGGTGTTGATATACTAGTAAGTATTAATATAGTTTTTTGCATTATTTTGCTGATTACAAACATGTTCTTTACGAAAATGTTCTTAAAATATGACTGCTGTGTGAAAAGTGGTTTTTGACTAATTTTTTGCTGAGCCTTTTTCTGTGAAAAGACTGATTTCAACTCTATTTTTGTAAGTAATATTTGCTGTTCATCTTGACATTTAGTTAATCACTGACAAAATGTGAAATAGATAAAGCAGTGGAAAATTGTTTTTTATTTTTGATAGAACTTACTTCAGTGTTTCACATCTTCCATAATGTGTGGCACAAACATAAACAAGTAGTTCACTGAAAATCTCAGTAGCGTGTCTGAAAGCACATGCCATTTGTGTTGCTTGCTATAACTAAGTAATCAGTTTCATTTAATTAATCATTTTAGTTCATTTTAAGCATAATTGATTCTAATGTTTTAATATTTACTGTTACTGTCTGATTTCTTTTTATAATTGAAGAGATTAGTTGCCTTCTTATTTTTTATTCATTTTTGTGTGTGTGCTTGAAAGATTTTATATAAATATGTTATGGAGAGAGTTTATTTTAATCTCTGTAATATGGTGGCCATCAGGGATTATTTCCAAGTCATTTTAACATGCTATTATCATATAATTAATTTTTAGTAATTAATTTCATATGCTTAAAAATTCTTATGAATAGCTTTTAGTAAATCCTTTTTTGTTTTGGGTCACTGGATTTTGTTTCTTCTTTTCCATTCGAGATTTATTTTGGGGAATTTTCATCTTTTCTTAGCTACACTCATAAAAGTTAAATTAGAAAATATATTTTGCTTTTCTAGACTTCATTTTTTTACATGTAAAGTTTCCATGATATGATTCCCTAAGTATGTATTTTCTTGATTTTTTCCATGCCAACATAAATACTATTTACCTTGAAAAATACTCCACAAAGGCAACTCTTCTTTTCAGATGACACTCATTCATGTGTTTCCTTAATCAGTTAACCAGACCAAATTAAAAACATAATTAATCATTAATTGTTCTGAATTACTGTTTAAAGTAAGACAGAAAAATCATCCTACGTACTTGATATAATTCCGGCTCATTAATCTTGCTTCATATTTATATAAATGCAAAATTGTTATATAAGTCATTAAATGTTAAACAATTGTAATTGTCTGGGACTAATAGCTTCTTGAAGCATATTAATTTTAAAACTTGTGGGTATCTGTATTGCATTTAATAGTGTAGACAACAGAAAAGATCTCTACATTGTATTAAAAAATTGTAACACTACATAAAGCTGTCTCTTTAATAGAAGGATTAACCTGAATTCAAATCCCTGATGCAGAGCTGTTATTTGCAGTTTTTATCGTAAAAGAATTAACCTGAATTTGAATCCCTGCTGCATGGTATTATTTGCAGTTTTTCCCATGTGTAACAATGTGACTCGATTTTTCTTTAGAAGGTTCTCGAAGAAGACACCCCTTTCCTTAAGAAGATAGCCTTGGAATACTTTATCAGATTGAAAAAAAAAAGCAAAACTTTTTTTCTTTTAGAAAATAAGAGGGGATATTAATGTGGCAATTTAATTTTAAAGGGAAATTTATAGAAAAAGAGTTTGAAGAGAAGTAAATTTAAAAAAAAGTTATAAATCAATCAAAAATCAACTGACGAGAGGAACTAATTTTTCAGAAAAATAGAAGTGATAGTTGTTTCTAATAAGATAACAAAATAATGCAAGATAATTGAATAGTTGAACTAGACATACTAAAAAGTATACAATAGTTATCTCTAAATTACAGGTATAAAAGGTCCTTGAATACACTAGAGCAAACATTTTAATGCCGTACTTTGCAGGCTTACTGGGAATATGTTGCCTGAAAGGACATCTGCCTCTAAAAGGTTCCAGTTTTTTATCGATGGTGTAACCTCTTACAGTTAATTACAAATAAGTCATACACAGATCTTACAGGAACAAGTTTATCAAGTTCTTTCCTTTTCATACAATCTCTAATGCTGTTATCACATCTATAGACGCGCGTGCTTACTCGGGACAATTCCGAGAAACGAGATTCTAGTAGCACGGCTTTAAGCGGCAGGCTTCCGAGAAATGTTTCGTTTAGCTAGGAGGAACATGTCCCAGCTACGAGCAACATTTTGAAACTTTTCCCAAAATGTTCCAGCTGGAGACGTGTTCCTCGAACGTTCAACCAATCAGACGAAAGGTCAGCTTCTGAAGGATCACGGGTAACATTCAATTGGCGAGGCTTCACTGTGAAGTAATGGACGGTGGAAATAGAGGCCGATTTAATTGTTTTGATTTTGTTGTAATACAACTGCCTGAGATTTTTTAAATGTGTATATATTCATTAAATATATATTGTGGAAATTTCAGAGTTGACAGTATTTTACGACGTTCTGTCATTTCGGATTTGTTTCAATTGTTCGTTAGCCAAAAGTTGCAAATTTGTCTATTTCGCCAATTCGTTATTATACAATGTTATATAATAGAATTTTATTTCTTATTTGTTGAATAATTTTTTAAATCTATT